CCCCTCGGGGGATGTCCACCTGCTGGCTTAGGCCTGCTCCCCGGGGGATTGTGCCTAAGCTGGCAGTGATACATCCCTTGGGGGATGTCCACTTGCCAGCGGGCCGAAGCTGCAGTTGAACATCCACAGAGCTGCTGAGGAGGCAGGAGAGGCTCCCACCATTGCCACTGTGATGCCGTCAGCCTGGCTTGTGGCTGAGCAGAGCTCCCCCTGTGGGAGTGCACTGACTACCAGGGGGCAGCTCCTGCATTGAGCATCTGCCCCCTGGCAGTCAGTGTGTATCATAGTGACCAGTCATTCCTAGTCGTTCTGCTGTTAGGGTCAATTTGCACATTACCGCCCTAACGGGTTTGGCTCAGTGGATAGAGCATCGGCCTGCGGACTGAAGGGTCCCAGGTTCGATTCTCGTCAAGGGCATGTACTCTGGTTGCGTACGCATCCCCAGTAGGGGGTGTGCAGGAGGCAGCTGATTGAAGTTTCGCTCTCATTGATGTTTCTAACTCTCCATCCCTCTCCCTTCCTCTCTGTAAAAAATCAATAAAATATATTTGGGGAAAAAAATTGCATGTGCACATTACCCTTTTATTATATAGGATAGAAGCCTGGTGCACGGGTGGGAGCCAGCTGGTTTGCCCTGAAGGGTGTCCCAGATCAGGGTGGGCAGGGGACCCCCAGCTCCCTACGGTCGCCCACGCTGCCCCTGCTCACGATCGCTGGCTCTGCCCATGCTCACGCCTAACACCTCTGGCCAAGGCATTAGGCCTGGGCAAGGGACCCCCAGCTCCCCACCATCGTCAACTCGGCCCCTACTCCCTGCGATTGACCGCTTAGCCCGAATGCCTCTCACCCAGGCATTAGGCCTGGGCAGGGGACCCACAGCTCTCCAAGGGACCTCCTGCTCCACCCCTTCCCAGGCCTAACGCCTGTGGCCAAGGCATTAGGCCTGGGCAGGGGACCCCAAGCTCCCACCATCAGCGACTGTGCCCCTGCTCCCCATGATCGCTGGCACTGCTCCTGCCCGGGCCTTACGCCTCTGGCCTAGGCGTTGGGCCCTAGCAGCGGGGACCCCCAGCTGCAGCCGCCCGGGCCTAAGGCCTCTGGCCTAGGCGTTAGGCCCAGGCAAGGGACCCTCGCTGCAGTCGCCCCCCGATCGTGGGCTCCGCCCCTGCCCCCCAAGCTGCAGCCGCCCCCTATAGTGGGCTCCGCCCCTGTCGAGCGTTAGGCCCAGGCAGGGGACCCCCCCAGCTGCAGCCACCCCCCGATCGTGAGCTCCGCCCCTTCCCGGGCCTAACGCCTTTGGCTGAGCGTTAGGCAAGGGCAGTGGGAGCCCAAGCTGCAGCTGCCCCCCCGATCATG